AGACACCAGCTCACTATATTGTGAGGCAGGAGGGTCGTGGAGATTCAGGTGGAGGATCTATAGGAGTGAAGGTCTGGGGGCGTGAAAGACCTTGATGTTAGAGGGTCTCAGTGCACAGTGAGAGAGCTTCAAGACCAACTTCAGTTCCACAACTGGCTAGGACACGAGGTGCTCACAGGAAGAGGTTCACACTCACAGTTATGGTTTATTCCAGCACAAGGATACACTAAAAAACAGCCAGTGGAAAGCATGCAGGATGGAGAATTCAGGAATCTCTGTGTGAAAGCCTCCTCTCCTCTTCCAGTGGACTCAGCACACTGCTGACCTCTCCTGGTAATGGTGTAAGACAAGATGGAGAATCGTCAAGTAGCTCACCCAATTGCACACACAGGTTTTATTGAAGACACTTGAGTTGCGTAGCTATGGTTGACTGTCCACATAGCTGACCTGTAGCCCCTGGCATGTCTAGAGGGTAAGTAAGCTGACACTGCATGTTCATAGGCCCCACCATTACCACACAGTCTATGTCTTAGGGCTGGCTCCCTTTCAGGAGCTTCGGGAGTGATTAACTACACACCCATGTCCAAAGGTTGAAACTAACAGGAGTGTGGTGTAGCAGAGGTTGGGGAGAGGATAGGGAGGTGGTGGGGGGCAGACAGAAACACTGATGGGTTGACAAATGAGAAGGGGAGTAATGCCACTGAGAGAAGACATAGTTCAAGGAATTAACAGATAGACTCGGGCAATGAAGTTTTCATAATTGTTCCCCTCAACACAAGTTGGTCTCGAGGTTCCCTCACGGCGCTGTTTCCCTTAACCAAAATCATAAGACGTGTGTGTGTGTGTGTGTGTGTGTGTGTGTGTGTGTGTGTGTGTGTGTGTTTGTGGAGGGGGGTGGATTTGAAGAAGCAGGAAGAGCAAGGAGACTCAACCTAGGTGTACTGTGTGCTGGAATAAAAGTCTGGGTGTGTCACACCAGTGCCAGGCCAGAAAATCTAGCCAAGGAAGAACTTTCTTAAAATGAAGAAACAATGAAGTAGGGGTTTCAAGAAAACTGTGGAGCCAGGAGTCATGGTATATATGATATATACATACATATATATATGTTTCCTTATCACTAATGCATTATGTATTTCTACTTCTTTGATTACTTTTCTTTGGATATTTCATACTAGTACAAAGTTTTACTGTGTTATGCATTCTGAAAAATGACCTTTTTTTTTTATAATGTATCATTGTTCCACAGCTGAAATAAATACATACCACTCTGTTTTCCCTAATTTTAATAATAGTTTCTAGTGTTTAATGTTATCTGTTTAAAGTTCCTTTGAGAGCTAATCCTTCTTTTTGGGGCAAGGCAGGATTTTATAGGGTAGTCCAGACAGACCTGGAGCTTCAACGATCTTCCTGCCTCAGTCTCCCAAGTATCAAGACTGTGGGTTAAAATTACATGCCTGGCTTAATTCATCAGACTTTGATACATTAGCACATACTCCAACCTTCTTCCTCTTGAACATACCCTGTTTTTACCTCTTAGGTACATATGTGGGCTTGTTAATGGTCCTCTGCTCAGAAAAGGAGCCAATGGAAATGAGATGTTAAATGATGTGGGGCTGTGAGTATCAAGGCCACTGTCAGTTAAGATGCTGACAGTACTTGATTACTGATATTACTCATCATCATGACCATCTCCACCATCACCACCATCGTCACCATCATCACCATCACCACCATCACCACCATCACCATCATCACCATCACCACCATCATCACCATCACCATCACCACCATTATCATCATCACCACCATCACCACCATCATCACCATCAACCATCACCATCACCACCACCATCGTCACCATCATCACCATCATCACCCTCACCATTATTATCACTATCATCACTGTCACCACCATCACTAACAACAGCACTGGACAAGAGTTTTACCTAATCTTGTTGATAAAGGGCAATATGAACTTTGTCAAGAAGTGGGCTAGAGACTGCAACATGTATTTAATGAACTGAAGGAATATAATACATGTTACATAGTCTTCTATAGAAGAAAAAGGACATTTGTCTCCATGAGTTCATTTTCTCTCCTGTTAGAGTTTTGTATTTTTCTGTAAATAAATACCTCCTGTTAAAATGTAAAATTAAATTAATTATTCATTTTCTTTTCTTTTCTTTTTTGAAACCTGATATGTAGGCTGGGCTGGGCTGTTATTCATAGTTCTCCTGAGTGTTGATGTTACAGCTATGGACCACTACACTAGATGAATTATGAAATTACTAATCTAAGAAATCTTCAAGTTGTTGGTATGGATTAGTGGTAAAGGCCCTTGTCATGCTAATTCAGTAACATAAATTAAATTCTCAGAACCCACCTAGCAGTGGTGGCGCACGCCTTTAATCCCAGCACTTGTGAGGCAGAGGCCAGCCTGGTCTACAGAGTAAGTTCTAGGACATCATCCAGAGCTACAGAGAAAAATCCTATCTCAACCCCCCCCCAAAAAAAAAGAAAGAGAAGAAAAGAAATTCTCAGAACCCAAGTGAAGGTGAAAGGGTAGAACAGGCCTCACAAAATTGTCCTCTGACTCTAATCATGGGTTGTAGGACAAGCACTGCTCAGGGACACACACACAACATACACATGTACACACACCACACACACTACAAAACCAAGAAAAAAGAAACAAAACAAAACAGCAAAAGCCCCAAGAGTTGAAGAAATGGCTCAGAGGGTAAGTGTACTTAGTGCTTTTACAGAGGACCTGGATTGGATTCCCAACACCCATATGGTATCTCACAACCATCTGTAACTTTAGTTCCTGGGGATCCAATGCCCTCTTCTGATCTCTGTGGGCACTGGATTATGCAAGTGATGCACATCCATGAATGCAGATGAAATACTCATTCGCATAAAATAAACCAGTAAATTTAAAAGAGAAAGAGAGAAAGCCTCAGTGAAATGTAGACAGTGGTAGACTGCTTGAATGCATTGCAAAGCTTTAATGCCCAGTACCATTAAAAACAAACAATACCTCTATAAGTTAATATTTGTATTAAGTAGACATAAACATTTGATATCTTTGATGAAAAATCCAAAATGCTTGATGACACAAATGTCTGTATCTGGGGAAAGAAAGAAAAAGAATTATATAAAACACATGATTGGGCATGATGACATATGTCTTTAATCCCAATGCTGGGAAGACAGAGGCAAGCAGATCTCTTTGATTTTGAGGCTACTCTAGTTTAAATAAAGAATTTCAGGTCATGCATGGGAACAAACTAGGCGTTCTGCATGTGGGCAACAGTGTGCAGCCTGTTTTGTTTGTGGGACCCCTGGCGGTGGAACCAGGATCTATCCCTAGTGTGTGAGCTGGCTTTTTGGAGCCCATTCCCTATGGTGGGATACTTTGTTAGGGGCTTGGTCCTGCCTCAACTGAGTGTGCCAGGCTTTGTTGACTCCCCATGGGAAGCCTTACCTTTTCTGAGCAGTGAATGGGGGTGAATTGTGGGGGAAGCTGCAGGGGAGGGGGGGAAGGGAGGGAGAGAGAGGGGGAGGGGCTGTGGTTGGTGTGTAAAATGAATAAAAAATTTAAAAAATAAAAAAGAATTCCAGGCCAGCTAGGGAAGCAGAGGCAGGCAGATCTCTGTGAGTTAGAGGTCAGCCTGGTCTACAGATACAGAGCTAGTTCCAAGACAGGCTCCAAAGCAAAGCAATACAGAGAAACCTTGGCTCAAAAAAAAAAAAAAAAAAAAAAAAAAAAAAAAAAGAAAAGAAAAAACAAAACAAAACAAAAAAGAAAAGGAGCACTAAAGTCTAGTGCTCAAGGAGATTTAAAAAAAAACTTTAAAGAAAAACCTGCTACTAAATGGAATAAGGGGAGAAGTGACCTCAGGGCAAGGCCTCGCCCAACTAAACTTCCAATCTGTGAAAAGGAGTTAAAGAAAAGTTTCAGGCCAGGTATTGTGCCTCACATCCTTAATCCCACCACTCTGGAAAGTCTGGTAGATCTCTGAGTTTGGGGCCAGGCTTGTCTACAGCGCAAGTTCCAGGACAGTCGAGATTAGGCAGTGAAGGAAACCATCAAAAGCAGGGAGCTGGTGAAAATGGAATTGAACAAGGGGGCCATGCTCAGCCCCAGCAAGCAGCAAGACTTGACAGCTTCAACCACATGGTTCTGGCTTCAGAGCTAAGGAGACAAGATACGAGTTGTAGAATCTCCCTCTGTGACTAGGGAATACCACGAGGCCAAGCATGGGTCAGGGGTGTCCCTGCACGGAGGCCCAGAGGCCATTGTGTGAAGCTGTGAAGGCGAAGCCTGATTTCCTTGGAGACCCCAGCTCCAGAGAAGGAAGTGTGCTGCAGCCAACAAAGCCGAAAGGAGTTGGAGATCTGAAGAGCATTTGACATCAAACATGAAGGTGCAGAGTTTGGAGTTTTTGGTCTTGCTTTGGTCCAGTATTCCTCACTACGCTCCCTTCCCTCCATTTTGGAAAGGTAATATATATCCTGTGCCACTGGAGGTTGGAAGTATGTGATCTGCTTTTTTATTTTACTTTTACAGGTGATTACTGTTAGGAGACTGCATGAGTCTCCAAAGAGAATTTGGACTTTAAACATTGAGACTTTGACAGGCTATGGACTTTTGAAGCTGTACTAAATGCATTATCATATGGCTACAAGCCTGCGGGATCCAGGAGTGGAATGTGCTGGTCTGACTGAAAATGGCCCCCATAGGTTCATAGAGAGTGGCACCATTAGGGGTGTGGCCTTGTTGGGATGGGTGTGGCAGTGTTGGACATTCATTTCATTTGTCCTCAGCTTGTGCCTGGGAGTGAGCTGTTTGGCTCTGTGGTAACTATGCTTTTCCTTCTGGCGAGTTGTAGGCTGCTCTCCAGCATCCATGCCACTCTGTGCTGGCCTCAGTGTCTCCATGGCCATCCCCCCCCACCCCACCCCACCCCACTCCCACCTGCTTGCTAACTTGCCAGCTCTGACTTGTCTGCTCTTGCTGAGCAGAATATTGGGAGAGGGATCTCGCTGTGGTTCGGATCTGTGCCTCATGGCCGTTGCACTGAATGACTTCCAGTCCTTGCATGATCACTGTCCTTCGGCTACTAAAATCCAACATCATATTCTTCCCATTGACTTTCCATAGTGCTTGTGTTCTTATCTAGAAAGCTGGTAATTTCTTGTAAGAGTTTTATAGTTTAAGGTTTTACAATTGTTACATAAGATTCAACTTAATTTTGTAGATGATTTGAGAAATCAGTAATTACTTTCCCCCTATAAATAACCAGAACCATATGCTAGAAAGGTTACTTGAAAGCCAGGCGGTGGTGTGCGCCTTTAATCCCAGCACTTGGGAGGCAGAGGCAGCTGGATCTCTGTGAGTTTGAGGCCAGCCTGGTCTACAGAGCTAGTTACAGGACAGGCTCCAAAGCTACACTGGAAAACCCTGTCTTGAACACTTCCCCCCACCAAAATAAAAAAAAGACCATCAGGCTGAGCAAGCCAGGAGGAACAGGGAAGAAGGGTTTAAGCAGCTCCCTCCATGGCCTTTTCATCAGCTTCTGCGTCCTGATGTCTGTCCTGTTGGATGAACTATGGAGCTGTGACTGAAATACACCCTTTCCTCCCCAAGCTGCATTTGGTCATGGTGTTCCTTCACAGTCATAGTGGCCCTAAGTAGGACAGCCTCCATTGCTCTCACCATCTCAACAGGCTGTCAAGCAAGCCCTGGGCTCTCCCTGTCTCAGCCTCTACCCCTTCCCCTGCCCCCACCCTGACACGGGCTACCGTGTCCACCTTTTACATGAGCGCTGGGGATGTGAGCACTGTCCTCACGCTTGCATAGCAAGCCTTTCCTGCCTGAGACATCTGCCCGGACACCATTATTTTCTATGAACAAAATAAAGTTTGGGAGGCTAGACGCTTGCTGTTCTTGCAGAGGGCCCAGCGTTGATTCCCAGCACCCACATGACAGCTCACAACCATCTGTAAATCCAGTTCCAGGGGATCCTCAGGCATCAGGCATGCACATGGTTGCACATATATACATGCATGCTAGCCAAACCATCATAGCCATAAAATAGAATAAATAAACCTAAAAATGTTTTTCCATAATATGTTGTAAGGGATTGGTTCAGTTTTATTTTAGCAGATCAGAATTTTTCTCAATTGAAACTAATTTGTTATATAAGAAATAGCAGTATTCTCAACAAAAGCAAAACAATAAAGGGAAGTAAGTGACATAAACAATGGTACCTAAAAACCAAGTAATATTTAGGTATCTGTGAGTTAATGTATTTTATTATAGAATGGATTATGCTTTGGGAAATATCCTTTTCCAGAAAAAAAATGACATTAGCAAATTTAATTAAATAAGATGTTTGGTCTGTGACAACAACCTATAATTTTGAAAGCATATTTCCTACTTTGTCATCTAATAAAGGCTTGCAGCTCTTTAATTCTGCTGATTGAATTATAAATTCTCAGGAGCACAGACTGCATTTTTATCTTGTTAACAGCTTGTGTATGAAGAAGGGTAGTCTGCTTAGCCTTAAGATTTGTAATATAATAAAAGCATGCACAGTACACATCTTAATGAATTTCCATAGCCTTCCAAGGAGCTGATGAGAGAGATAGTTTCTTACTGTATGGGTAAAGAAGCTAAGGCAAAAATAAATAGTTACAGTGAAATACCTCCGATCCCCAGTTTTGCCACTGTTAGGGGTCAGTCTGGACTCCGTACTATTTCCTCTGGGGCTTCACAGGTTCCTTAGAGTTGGACTTCATGCAGGACTTCCTGCCACCTGTGTATTTCCCAGAGGGATGACATGGGAAAATCATTTATTGTGTGTCAGGTCCAAAGGAAATTCCATTTCCCCAAATCGAGCAATTAGACAAAAGCCAGCATTCCTCAGGAATTTGTGAAGCTAGTCCCTGTACCAAAGGAGCCATTTCTCTTTATGACTGGCAGAAGGGACAAATGACTATCTGTGGTGACTATTAGCATACCAAAGAGCAGCTGGCCTCCAGCTCCCAAAGAATCACACATACCTGGTACGCATTCCTGACCACATGCTGGCATCCTGGCCCTCCCCTCCCTAAACTTCCCCATCTCATGGGCCCCCCCTCATTTCTTACAACCCTGCTATTTTGGCTATGAGCTCTCTTGCTCTCTCTCCCCTCCCTCCCTCCCTCCCTGCCTCCCTCCCCCTCCCTCTCTCTGCTGGTCATGTTCAGTCTATTTCTCACTCAGCTCGGAACTCTCCCAGATGCCTCTGGCCGTGCTCCCCCTCCTGTCGATAGTTACAAACCATCCATTTAACCATGGAGCGCCGTGCCCTCAGTGTACACACTGTGCAGGACTATCTCATGGAGCTCCCCCAGACCTCAGCCACTACGTACCAGCACGGCCCCATCCTGCACCGTTTGTCCCAGATATTCCCCTTTACACAGTCAGGGTTCCCAGCTACAGGAGGGAATGGAGAAGGACAAAATCAACAAACAAACAAACAGCCAGCCACGTGGCAGACCAGTTCCCTCATGAAGTAGAAGAAGCCTTTGGAGAAAGACGAAGAAGCCCAAAGTACAAGGAAAAGCACACTTAGCTTCTGGCCCCGAGAAAGAAAAAGTTACATCTTTCTGAGCCAAGACTCAGAAAGGTGGGCAGAGCCAGCAGAACCACATGGCGGCATGTAGGGACTGCAATGGGTTTATATGTTTAGATCTCCACCAAGGTCAAGGTCAGAGATTTCATCTTCTTGACCAGTTTCCCCTTAACGAGGCTTTCCTTCGGCTGCATCACCCTGAGCAATAGGAATGGCAAAGATGAGGAACCATTTACAGCAGGGCAGAAGGGTCACCTCCAAAGAACGACCTGGAGGGGGAAAATGCCGCTCTGTCACTGTACCCAGCTTCACAAAAGCTCTGTGCAATTCCTCTGCTAAAACGCTCCTGTTGTGTGGAGCTGGAGTGGCTCAGTGTTTACTAGCACTTGTGGCTCTTCCAGAAGAGCTGAGTTAATTTCCCTGCACCCATGTTGGGTGGTTCACAACCACCTGTAACTCCAGCTCCCTGGGATCCTGTACCTTCTTTTGCCCTCCTCAGACACTGGCTCATAGGCCGCACACACTGAATATAAATGAATCGATTTAAAACTCTTCCGTTCTTCCCAGTCCTTCAGTGTACTCTGAAGACCCACACGGACCAATAGAACATGGTCCCGTATCTGCTCTGCCCACGCTGTCTCTTCATTTCCTGGGACAAGCCAGGCTTGCTGTCACCCTGAAGACTGCAGCTGCCATTCCTTCCTCAGACACAGCCCTCTTTCTTCGTTCGTTCTCTGACTGAACCTCCTCTCCGAGAGCTCTGCCTTTCCTACCACCAAACTGCTCCCTCCTCCACTCTCTTCCCTTGGCCCTGCCTTCCATTTATGACTTGGTGCCATCCACTATGTCTATGCAAAGTGCTTGACAGATACAAGCTTGATAAGTATTGGTTGTATGGTGGCTTAGAGAAGTGAGACTCTTGCTTGCCCAGAGTTCAGAGCCAACAAGGAGTAGAACTGAAAAATTTAAAAAACAGACAGAAAAGATAAAAGAGAATTGTGTAGAAGCCAACTCCAAGGCACAGAAACCTGGACAAGGTGGGAGGCTCTAAGGAAACTTGATTCAAAGTCCTCTTCTCTCCCTGAGCTTTGTAGGTGCTAAACAGCTTTGTAGGCCAGTCCTTGCTGCCTGATGCCGCAGGAAAAGGCTTCAACCCCCCCCCCCGCCCCCAGGGGTACCGTGCTGACTTCCACAGCTCTGTGATGAGCATTTTGAATGAATTAACCCAAGGTTAGCTGAGAAATAACTAAAGCCTCTAGAGTAGCCAGGACTGCAGCCCACCCATTAGAGCGCGCTTTGCTCCATTGCTTTGTCTTATTAGAGTCTCACTTGAACTCTGCCTGGTGTTGCCCAGTCTGTCCTTTTCCCTTTTGTACCATGATTCCCAAGGAACCTAGCTAGCTGTGTGTTGAATGCTTAAACAGATTTACAAGTAAAGTTATGATTATAAAAAAAAATGACTTATCTTTTGGCTAGGAGGAAACAAGGGAAGTCGGCAGAGTCGAGTCAGCATCGATTCGGACACAATCTCCTGCTGGAATCTGCAAAGCCGATTTAAATATGATCATAGCGTCCAGAAGTCTGTTTCTAAAATATAGAAAGGCAAGATGACAGCTCTGAGAATGCCAAACTTGAAGAACTTGGAATCTTTTCATTTTGCATTAATATAAACCCCAGGGCTCAGCTAACTGGGTCTCATCTCACAGTGTTCACAACAGAAGGCAATGGTAATAAAAATGGCTTCCTCACCTTGCTGGTGTTTAGTGCCGTCTGTGACCGATACCAAGTTTTGTATGTTGTGGGCTAGAAAAACAGCATGGTCTGTGAGAGCTCTGAAGGGGGGAAATGAAGTTATAACAAATAGCCAGGCAGTCATGAGTGCTTTTCAGCAGCTGAAATAGGAGGCATTTCTGTCGGAAACAATGCTTCTAAGACCTCAAGGCTGCTTGCCTCACTCCCAGGGGTTTATGTAAGGGGAAACTAGGAGAGGCTGAAAGCCATGTAGGGTGTAAGAATCACACAGATTGCTAAGCTGTAGGGAAGGAAGGCTTTTAGCATGCACTGGTCTGGAATCCTGGTGTGAAATCTGAAATCTGGCCAAGGTTTCGGTATACGTCGGTCCCTCCCCAAGACTGTGTGCTCTAACTTTTGCTCATCCATCTGGAAATACTTTGGGGGAGGGGGAGAGCATTTATATGTAAGTACCTGAAACAGAACTAAATTTTAACAAAACCGGATCCTGCTGGAATGAAAACATCTTCATTAGTCCATCTCTCTGCCGTCTCTAAGAATGGTCTTGGCTGCTGTGTAAACTTATTGTTGTAACAAAATACCTGAAAGAGGCAATATGTTTGAGTGATGGTAAGTTGTGTCTTCAGAGGTCTTAGTCCATATGTTGGGGAGAGTATGGCGGAGCCAAGCAGCCCACATCACCGTGGCCAGGAAGCAGAGGCCTGAGCTGCTGGGTTTTCTCCATCTCACTCCACCTGGGCCCTTGCCCAGGAGATGGTTTTGTTCACCTTCAGGGTGAATCCCTCACACTAATTTATTCCCTGTTGGAACTCACAGAAGTACCCAAAGTTGTGCTGTTCTGACCTCCAGGGCCCTTTCCAGTTCAATCAAGTGACCGTCAAGGTTCATCATCATATCGACCTGTGTCAACCCGGTGCACAAACCGTCTCTTTAAACTGTAACATTACATCCTGGCTCCGTAGCCTTAACAGCTCCAACACCGTTTGAAAGTCCAAGTTCAAAGTGTCCTCTCTGAGACTTAAGGCAAATGCTTGGCCTTGACACCAGATTACATACTTCTAGCACACCATGGCACGGAGTAAGCATCCCCATTCTAAAGCAGAGTCGTGGGTCTTAGATAGGTGAGGCGGCCAAAGCAAGCCTGGCACTGGGCGCGGGAGGGGTGTTCAATCCCCTGTGTCTGACACTGGGCACAGTGGTGTGATGTGAGTGCAGAGGGCGGGGTGGGCAGCTCCCAGCTAGCCTCACATTTGATCTTGGCAAATATCCTACTTTCCGGGCCTCTAAGGTTAACATCGCTTCACTCAAGGGCTCCCAACCCTGCCACACACACCTCTAAGGGCTTCCTTTTCAATCTGATAGAAGCCTCCATGACTACAAAACTAGCAGTATGTGGATACCAAGTACTGCCATCAGCAGCTGGGCCCTTTGGGAAGTAGCTGTGGGGTCTCTATGTGCCTGGGTAGCTGACTAGGATGGGGGGGTATACTTCCGTAAGGGGTACAAGCGCAATCAGGGTTCCCCAGAGCTCTTTCCTCAATGTAGTCTTCCCACTGAGTCAAGACTTCTCTACCCTTGAGCCAGACATGTTGGCACACACCTCCAGTCTCGTCACTCAGTGGCATGCTGATGCAGGAGAATTGCTATGAATTTTCTGGGCCAGCCTGAACTACATAGTGAAACCTTGACTCCATCCGCTTCACAGAAACAAGTCCAACAACAACAGACACCCTTCATACCTTGAGCCTGTGATGTGATGTGTGGGGTCCAGCTGACTGAGGGAGTCTTCTGGGCCTCTACCCTACTGTCCTGGCATTGTTTTAATTACATGACAGGGAAAGCAGCCACACTTTCCTTGGCCCCGGGCTTCCCTTCCTTTCTGTCTTGGAAAAGTCTTTTTAGTTTTTCACACCTTTCATTGTGCTCAAAGTTCGCAACATCTATTTGGCTAAAAAGCAATCAGCACAATCCATACACAGCCTGAACACCAGGCCACACTCAATGACAGGCCACCTTAAATGCTTCTTATTCCACCACCTTTAAACTCAAGACTCCCGACCACCTCAAGACACAAACAAAATGTAGACAAATTCTTTGCCAGAATAACTGGCCTGTAAGTCTGATCCCTAATTGAGTCTTCATTTCTATTTGAAGCCTCATGAGCATAGACATTACTGCCCACCATAATAAACCATGGAAGAGAGTGTACAGCATTCTCCGTGGCTTCTCTAGCCTGCTTTTCTGGACTTTTCCAAATCCCTCTCACAAATCGGTTTCAAGGGCTTCCAAACCCTAGTCAGGTGCAGTCACACTGTGACAGTACTTCTCTGGGGCGAACGTCCTTTGTAAGTCAGACTGTGACAGAGAGATGACTAAAGGAGGAAAGAAGATGTATTCTGGCTCATGGTTTCACACGGATGGGAAGGTGTGGAGGACTAGAAGAGTTCACCATACGGTGGTACAGACAGATGCGTCAGGGGAAAGAGGGCAGTGGGGGCAGGGAGAGACTGGCTTCACAAATAGACTTCTTCATCTCCTTTTTGTTCAGTCTGGGTCCCCCAACTTATAGGAAGGTTCTGAGCTTCCCCTCTTGGTTGATCCTCTCTGGAAACTTGTCTCTGGAAAAATGTCCCTCACAGACATTTCCAAGGGAGTTCTTTCCTAGTTCTCTAGGCATTTCTCAGTTCACCAACATCAACCACTATCATTAATTTAAGGAATTACTTCACTCAATGTACACACCTGCAAAAAACAGTGGAGTTTTAATTCAATCAAAAATGAAATTTAAACTAGGTGGTGGTGGCAAAAGCCTTTAATCCCAGCACTTGAGAGGCAGAGGCACATAGATTTCTGTGAGTTCAAGGCTAGCCTGGTCTACAGAGTGAATTCCAAGACAGCCAGGGCTACACAAAGAAACCCTGTTTTGAAAAACCAAAAGGAAAAAAAATCATTTAAATAACTCATTTAAATTTCCCTTTAAACAGAACAAATTTAAATTAGTCCACTATTATTTCTGACATAAAATTAATATAAAGATAATAATTTATCAGAAAATGAGCATATGTATACAAGGCAATCTACATAGGATAGTTTTAAGAATTTCAAACCAACACAGATTTAGGGGCTTAGAGTACTTTTGCCAAAGTATACAAATATTCTGATTTTAATCCACTGATGAGCTTGTTTTCAGTTTACATAAAAATAACTCACAGTCTGTATCTGTTCCATCTTGCTGAATTACAGGCATATGGCGACTTTATCCCATTCTTCTTCCTCTTGAGTTTTAAGATTGGAAGAAGGACTACACAAACTCATGGCCCTGCTGTTCTTAGCAAGGCACGTTGGGGAGACCTGGAGGGCTTCAGACAGAAGTAAACCAAACCCTGTGACTTAAAATAACCCAACCCCCCTTTACCTGCTCCTGCCCGAAGCATGCCATTAAAACTATCATTTCTCCTGGTCTGATACACGCCTGGAATCTCACCACAGGGAGACAGAGACAGGAAGACTGGAAACTTGAGGGCTGCATAGGCCATGCAACCAGACCCAGCCTCAAAAACAAAAGTATTCATGTTTTTATTTCTAGCACTCTGGAGACAGAGACAGGTGAATATGAGTTCGAGATCAACCTGGTCTACATAGCGAGTTCCAACCCAATCAAGACTACATAGTGAGGTTATGTCTCAAAAAACCAAACTAAACCAAACAAAACTGTTTTCTCCAAGGACTGTCTTGAACAAACAGTCTTACTCCCCTGGGGGACTATGAAGTAAAGTACTGGGAAGGAGTGAAGACTACAGTTAAGAGGCCAGAATGCAGTCGGGTAGTGTACATGACTGACAGAATGTGAGGTAGGGACAAGGGGTTTGAAGAATGCTAGCAGACCTCAGCATGGCACACATGGCTCTGGCAAGTCTTGCCCTTCCCCATTCCATCTTCCTTGCTAAACCATTAGATTGCATTCCTAAAGCTAACCACCAAGTTCTATTCCCTTATTTTGGCCACTTCCTGAGGCTGACCACCAAGGTCCAACTATCAGCGTACTGAAGTCCAGCAATCAAAAGCCCCCTTTGGCTCAACCCATCAAAACAAACCAACTCATCCTAACACAGGGATTTCCTCCTTTCCCTTCATAACCTGCCATTTGCCTATGGGCCACATCTGCCTCCTCTCTCTCCAGAGGCAGTCCTTTGCCCCTCTGGGACAAATACCCCTCCCCCTCCCTTTACTCTCCCCTCCTCTCTTGTCCTCTGTCTCCTGTCTTTGTCTCTTATTCTGAGGTAAATGAATCTATCTTCTTTGCACTGAGTGCTCTGCTGGAACC